AGTATTAAAATGGGTACGGTTATCTCCACTTTTATAATGTTTAGACCCACAAAATATTTATTTTATTATTGAAAATAATTAATAATTAATAAAATAATTGATATTTATTATATAATTAATTAAAATCAATTTATAATTAATATTTTTAAATATAATAATTAATTATTTAAAAAAATTACAAACAAATAAAATATTCATCAAACTAAGTAATATTTGTGCAGGTCAACTATTATCCAACCAATAAAAATAAAACTTGAGTTTAAGTTATATAATATATAAATGATGTGAATTAAGTAATAAAGAATAATTATTTTTATTATGCAATTCAAGATTAAAAAAGAATCCAAGACAATGTAGACTTCATTTGACAATTCTTGGCGCAAACATTTTTAATTAATTTTTAATACTACTAATATTATATTTTTGAAGAGATAAAAAAATCCTATAATTACAACTGTAGTATCGTTAAAAAACAAAATCATAATGTTAGACTAATGTACTAAAGTTAGAAAAGAATATATTAAATGATTAAAAATTTTAAATTTTAGATTAAAAATGTTGCATTTAAATCTCTAAATTAACATAAAATGATTAAAAGAATGAAAGAACTATGTGAGACACAAGTTAAGTCAATTTATATTTTTTTATATAAAGAATGAAAGAAATGAAATGCTCGATACGTGGCGTCTCAAGATAGCTGTATAAATTTAATTCAAACCAGACTTGGGTTGGTGGCCCAATATTTAATGCTTCCTAAAATAGTAGTACGTGGCATACGCCGGTTGGATTGAATTTTTCTATTTGTGGGTGCTTCGTGACCCGCCCACAAAATAAAATAACCTTTCCATTTCTTTCAAAACGACCATTTCTCAGCATTTATATGCCGGTTGGATTGAAAAAAAAATGCTTCTTCCTTTTTTATTTTGTTTTGTTTTGTTTTTCTGTTTATGATAATAATGGTTTCACTTTTTTATTGAGATTTTTTCTTTATTTTTTATTTTTAAATTTGTAATAAATTTATATGTTTTCATTTTGATTAACAACTAAAAAAAATCATTATTGTCATTATTAAGATAAAATTATATCAATTTTTTAAGGTTAATACAGATTAATCTCAACTCTTAAATAAAGTTAGAGTTTCAACCTATATTGAGAAACTATATTTAAAAACTGAAATTTCGATTCAAATTTTAAAAATTTAATCT